TCAAATTATTGAAAGCGAAAACAACATCGTCATAAGAACTCATGGCTGATGGCAAATGAAACTATAATTTTTTGCTTCACGCGACTGAAGGTTAATCATGAAAAATTGTAATCCTTGTTCAGTGCTTCTGAATGTTCGTGATTATGCTGAAGATGGATGTGAATTAAGGATTAAATGACTGATAATAGTTTTTGGAATGGGAAATGCTTTTGTGATTTATTTCATGATCATAATTTACTGGTTTTGACATACTTCAAGCAAATAAGGCTTGACTACTTTTGAGATGCTTTAATAGCCAGAGAATTAAAAATCTATTATGAGAAAGCTTGTAGATGCATTCATAAAGACAAGCTTAAAACTATAGATCTGGTAACCAGCTTGTCCCGCAAATCAAGCTGGAAGCCAATTGAATCATCATACGCTTTTAATCAATAAAGACAGCTCAAAAAAATGCTTTGAAGCTGTCCCATAAATCAAATTAAAGACCATCATAATAGAAATTGTATCCACATTTGCGAGGACGTAGAATCAGTTTGAGTTTGAATCTTATTTCTCAGCAATTGCATTCAAATAATTTTATCAACATGACACAATTCTTTTAACTGTTCAAGACCACATCAAGAATGTTATAATCCATAAAAAGTAGTCTTAAATGCAAAATCAATACAGAATAAAATTTCCATGAATTTCTAATAAAGCTGTTGATTCGAGAAAATTTCAACATTCTTTCTTTGCGAAATTCCATAACTCAATTAAACAGAATTACTGCTTATTGCATGCAACATATTTCTCTGAAGTCATAAGAAGGACAGAGCTGGCAGCAAATGCTGAACAGGACGTGCCGATATTTTTGCTGGAAAATTGGTTTACGTAATAATTTCTAGGTGTTAGCTATTCACACCTGTATTATTCAATCATTAGTCTTCTGTAGCCACAGATTTTATATTTTCTGTAATAAAATGTGAGGAGCTTCTATTAATAAATCAACAAATCTGAAAGGGCAATCAATAACAACACATGAAATGCTTCTGATTTGCAGTTTACAGTAATTCTTTTATTGGATTCTCTTCATTTCAATCAAGGTATGATGTTAAGGATGTTGTTGATGATAACAAAATTACCTTTCAAGACTAAATTCACCTGTTTCTATCTAAATTTATTATCATCATCATCTTATATCGATTCCAACTTAAAGATCCTTTATTTATGGATATAATCCATCTTAAGACATTGTTTTTTTTTTTTGATTAAGGAGAATACTAAAAATATTTTTGTTTAAATCTTAAACACTTGTCTTCTATACTTTCATTAGTTTACATAAATCAGTAGAATTAATAAAAATAATAATTTTACATTTAAGGAAAAATTCTATCTACGTTTTTCACTCTCTCTGACTGCATCTGTTTGTATTACATACTTATTATCAATATTTATTATGTCTGCAGTCAAAGCACCGACAGCACTGCGATAGAAACATCATTTTTAAATATTTTAAATTTCATATATACTTTTTTTGTCCTTTAATAAATTCAGAAAGTTTGCATAAAAGTTTTTTTTATTTTTTTCATGATTTGACATCAATCAGATTAAGTTTTTGAGATTATTTGATTTTAATTCTTTTTTTTTTTTCATTATTTTATTTATTCTTTTGTCACACGGGTGTAAAAACTGTGTGTATATAAATGAGTGTGTATACATGATGGAAAAAAACGATCAGTTTGTGTATCTTTTATTTTTGTTACTATGTTCACTTATTATTTTAAATAGAGAATTTTCGATGGATTATTTGGATGGAATTTGATAGCAAGATTGAGGATGGTTAGAAAATCATTAGAGTTTTACTTTGAATTTTCAACTGATGGTTTAGTTCAAAAACCTAGGCCATCGGAAATTATTTTGAATTGAGATCAATTTTAAGATATTGATCAACATTTAATATTGATATTCAAATTTAGCTGAAAACGAACAAATAAGTAAAGTAAATTTCTATCCAAACTTAATCTAATCTTAATATCTGTATAAGTTTAAAATTAAATTAAAGGGTTCGAATCCTAATAGTCAAATTATTATAAGAACTGCTTTTCTTTCACTTATTCGTTTCTTTTTTTTGGCAAATCAGTTTTTGAATTTTTCTTTTTCGTGGTTTTTTTAACTTTTTATTTTATATCTGGAATAATTTAAAGCATGATGTAGAACCAATTTCGTCAAACTTCTAAATGAATCATCAATTTTACAAAACAATTCATCTGCAATTTAAAATCAAAAGTTGTGAGATCAAATCTCTGTTAAGTAGTCAAAACCTTTGAGTTCGAATCTCAAATAAATTCTATAATTATTAAATATAAAGTTGTGTTTGATTTTTGCACCTTTTTGACACCAATTTCCACCCAGTCCAACGAAATTTCTCTTTTATTAAATCTAATCCGTGACTATTATTTTTTCAAATCTGTCATTTTTATCATTTTCAGTAAATCAAAATGTGAGTTTCAATAATTTTTCAAAAATTAAATTTTCTTTTTTTCAATATTTAACGGAACACGACTTCCACGACATTTTTAATTTATTATGGAAGGAATTAGGCTACTTCATTTTACTGATACTCCTCATCACTCGACAGTAGCATCGATTTCTCATTGTAATTTTGACTGATTGTTGACACTTTTTGAGAAAATTTCCTACTCGATCCAAGAGTCGGTGGTTGTGCTGGTTGTTTATTTTGGCCATTATAGGATTGTTGCTGCGATGGTTGAACCTGTTGTTCAGTTGCTGCATATTTCTGTGGTTGTGGCTGCTGTTGACTTGACTCATCTGGATCATATGAGGATACACGAATGCCACGAGAATTTTTTCCACCTTTAAGAACATAACAAGTCGTACAATGGAAATAAATTGGTAAATTTTTGTGTGTTGTTGGATTTGATTTTTTTTTTGTCATTTTAGAAATTTCAACGCTTTACATTTAAAATTCATCATTAATATTTCAATGATTTTAATAAATACCGAAAATGGAAACAATACAAAACTTTTGCTGATTATTCATGTTTGAAGAATATTCTTATGGCTTCAAATTCGTGTGACTTTCCTTCATTAAAAGTATTATTTTACATTCTTGGATTTGAGCTTGAAATTCTCGTTCTTGCAGAATAAATTACGTCTGAGTTTTTACATTTAAAAGTCTTTTTAATTACAAAACGTACTGAAGACTGTCAAAAAAAAATATTGGCATTTCAAGTGGTTCACGTGGAAGCACCTACTGCGTCATCTCAAATTAAAATCGCTTTTGTCAACATGCTTACAATTTTGTTTTTTAAATACAATAGCTTTTTAGTCAACGGTTTTCTAGACACAAATTATTACTGTTTTTGAATTAGGATGAAATAAATAAAAAGATCCAGTGAACATTCAAAACAACTTTACCTAATTCAATAAGATACAGTAATGATCTAAAATGAATCCAGAACGGATATGCCTCTTATTGTGTCAGAAATAAAAGATTGCAGTCGTAGTTAATCAGATTACTTGTCATTGGGTAGATAAGGTCAACTTCCTTCTCCTGGGTACACCATTATTAAATATATTTCTTAAAATAGGAAACTGAAGCCAAACAATCCTGGAAGTTCATAAAACTCTTAAATGAAGGAATTAAAAAAGTCGAAAATCTCACGAATTTGAAGCTAGTAGAAGTTATTAGTTATGTAAGCTTCAAAAAATTAATGTATTAGAAAATAAAATCTATAAATTATTAAAAACATTCTCTTGAAATCTTAAAATACATAACAATCATCATTCAGCAATCTCGAGATTATAAATATTTATCTTCAAGCATATTTCACGTGCTGTTTTTGAACTCTTTTTTAATTATCTTAAAAATAAGAAATAAATTTCCTATACACAATATCTTGATTAGGATTAAAATAAACAGACATGCAATTGAAAATGATTTTTTTTTTGTCGTCTCTCAAAACTCTTTCAGTAAATCCTAAAAAAACATTATAGAAAATTGATTTCCTATTGAGAGTCTTCTTTAAATGACATGACAGATAATATTTTTTGATGGAACAAGCATAAACAATTTAAATTAATTTAATTTATATCCAAAACATCTTCATTCTCGGGTAAATTTTTCATAACACTCTTATTTCTTTCATTTAATTCAATAACATGCTTCGTGCTAAGGCAATAAAAAATAGAATAAAATGAAATTACAAAAAAAATAAATAAATAAATTTAATGTACAAATCAAAAAAATATGTTTCATTAAACGATAAAAATGAGATTAAATAGAGCTATTTAGAATATACATCATACAGCAAAGGATATGACACCTTTCGGGTCATAAATCACATCTAGTGGACGATTTATGTTGGCGATAAAAGGTTTTAAAAATAAATAAATTAAAAAATAAGAAGCAAACAGTCAATATCATCGGTTTAATGATTCCACAAAATGATAATATATTATGAAATTATACTTAATGATTGATGTATTACCAGGTGTATTACCGTTTACTGTTCTTAATGACTGAATTCGTTTGAACTTAGGGTTAAGTAAATATAGATGAAAATCCATTTGAATGATGATATTTGAATATTTCATTCAGGAATATATATATATATATATATATATATATATATGTTCGAGGATAAGAAGCTTTGATCAAGAAATTAGAAGCCACAACTTGTGCCACTACGAGTTCTAATCCTATGAAGCAAAGGCTAACGAAAAAAATAGATTTTCCATAACCTGAGCAAGTAAATGACTAACATAAGAAAAGGATTTTCTAAGATAGAATCTCAATCCATAATTTGTACCCCAAGTATCAATAAAGATGAGTAATCCTAACAAGATTCGAATTAAATCCAATGGAGATTAACAAACAACCCAAATACCAAAGATCGCAAGTTACATCGTGCATGATATTGACTGTTTTAAAAATCCAATTAACCTAGCGAGCTAAAAAAATGGCAAATTAAAATAAATTATAAAAAAATAATAGTGAATTTAGGAAGAAATAAAGACAGCAATTGACATTTATTTAAAAAATAATAAATAGAAATTATGACAGCTATACATAATTGTGTAAACTTATTGCTTAACGTGTTATATCATTTTTATAACAATTTTTTTATCATTAATATCTATCTATGGACAATAAAGTCGTCAAAAGCCATAGCATGTAGCTTATGGTGTCAATATAATCTAGGTCAGTTTCATGCTTTTCACACATGATGGACGTCATTTTTCACACTTTTTGCTATGTTCTGGATAGTGTTTATTAAAAAAACAAGACATCCGTGAAATGTTATTTGTCAAATTAAATTGAGATAAGGCATTCGTTGTGATGCAGCATCTACCCACGCGTAGATTAAATAGAGTCATTTATGTATGTACAAAGATAATCATATGCGATTGAGCATTCAGTGGAAAAATATTTTATTTAATTATCATTTTAAATTAATTGCTTCATAACTAATTCAGTGTTGCTTCTTAGTGTATATGATTTGGAAATGAATTTTTATACTTTATAGGATGTTCTTATTAGCTATTTATTATAAACGCATACTGGTTGAAGAAATTAAAAGTGAATTAAAATTACAAATTCAATACAAAATATGAAAAAATCCTCTCTTTTTGTGCAAATTCATCGCATTCTTACTGTCTGGACTCTATTTGATTTAAGTACAATTGCTTATCATAACGTTCCACGAAGGAAGTTTCCTTATCTATTTTAAATTTAATTATTCAATTTTCACAGTTTATTTAAATTTTTTTCTTTTTTTTGCATCGTAAATTGTGAAAGATTTCATTTTTAAGGATTTAAAGTCTTTCGTATGGTTGTTGCGTTACAACTTCTGTAAAAGAAAAAGAATTAAACAAAATAAAATCATATTTCAGAGAAAGAAAAAGAAAAAGGTTTTGGGAAATGAGGAAAATCAAGGTCAAATCAACAAGTGATGTTAAAAGTTCGGATTGTTGCTGCTGAGTTAAAAATGAAATAAGTTGGGAAATATTGCGTGTGATTTATGGATGGTTAATGTGCATTTTTGGTTGAATATATTGTCAGGTTGATTATTTGACGATTAGTTCAGTCTTGCAATTAAGGAATTAAAGTTCGAAATTGAAATTCTTAATTTTTCTAGGATTTTACAAAGCTTTACATTTGAAATTTAATGATCAAAAAGTTTTGAAATATAATTCGAATTTTGTGCAACAAACTGCAAATTTAGGAAATTAGACTTGAAAAACCTCAAAAATGTCTAATAAAGATTTATTTCGCGCTAAAATCAGTCAATAAACTTAAGAAATATTATCATCTTAGATAAAATCAAGTTTAAAATCTGCATATATAACTATGTTTAAATGTAACTATGGAAATGTTTACATGATCAGAAAAGGAACATATTTAGACAATATGCATAGCAAGTATTTTTGTAAATTTTCGTTTCAAACGTTTTGAGTCAAAATAACATATCAAGTGCTCTTATGTAGTGCTCAAAATTATATGTTTTGCAAATATGGATCGAAATTCGAAAATTGAGATAAGATCCATATCATATGTAACCTTTTGACAACATCTTTATCCTCAATTTGATATCTGAATAGTCCATAAAAGTAATAAAAATATTTCAAGTAGCACAACGAAGAAATCTAACAAAACCTTAAGATTCTGTAACAATGCACAATAGCCATACGTTATCGCAATAATTCTTTCCTTGATGCCGCAAAGAATGTAATAAAAAATTGGATTATGTGAAAATATTTTACTTCTTTTCTATTTGTAGATCTACAATTCGCTTTTTTCTGTTTTTTCTTCTTATTAGTGACTTATTAGACTATAAAATATTAATTGTGTTATTAACGTTTACGGAAGCTCTTTGCAGACAATTCATAATATAAGAAAATAAACAGGTATAATGTAATAACCTTCCACCATTCAACAAAAATCAAAAAGTTATTTGCAATAAGTTTTGCTTTAATTAACGATGAAAATTATGTAAATAATAAAATGGATTTTTCGCTCACTACCTTTATTCAGATTAATGTTCAACAAACCGTTTTTACCCATAATAACTTTCAATAATATATAGAAGAAGGTCCTCGATTTGAATAATAATTTTCACAATTCAAATATTCAGTTTTACATGCAAATTCGAAGAAGATTTGAATTATTAAAACCGAGAACCCCTGCAATTTTAACATATAAAAGAGCTTGTAGCATGTAAAAACTTTTAATCAAACAGCAATGAGAAAGAAGTTACGAACAAAACATGAAAAATCCATATTAATAGATTAACATATTAAAAGATTGAACATATTAATTATACATGTTAATAGTTTTATTATAGTTTGTCATGCTACTTTATGCACATTACTCAAAATCCACATACGCCAGTCAAATGATCATTACAGATAGGTTGTTTGACTAACTGCAATTACTTCTTGACTTTTTGATGTGTTTTTTTTTCGGCATATACTCTATAGTATGTCCATTAATAAGAAGAATACTCTAGAGTATAGCATGAGAAACTCATCAGCGAGGATTGAAAGGAGAGAAAACCAAAAATATGTACGAGAAATAAGAAGCCAAGCAGAACAGATATAAAATGACCATTCATGACATTAAAATTAAATAATAAATAAAATAGCCTCAAAAATTCCACAATTAATTTAAACGCAAAGCATGCATAATGAAATTAAAACTCATGCGAAATTACGCATAAAATATATTTTTTTAAAAATTGATAATAATCACCAGAGCTATACTGAGTGTACGAGCTGTATTGAGGATGGAAGTTGTGAATAGCATCTGTCATAATATCCTAATAATGAGAAAATTTTCAACAATAATAATATTAGAATCGACATAATGAGCACGTTTGACATTTATCTTACCTTTGGATTCATCGTTTCCTATTCGTCACATAATCGAGATTAAAAAAACAGATATGTAAATGAAAGAATATATCCAACAAATTATCTCAATTATTTTCCTTACCTTCAAGCTACTGGAAATTGATTGCATAGTAACAGAGCGGCCATGAATGTCTGTTGCACAACTCTGAGCATAAACCTGAAAGATTGAAAAGGTTAATGACTAATTACAAGATGACTTTTTTTTTCATCTGACTTACTTGATATGGGAAAGCATAACGCAACGCAATGGCAGCAAAAAGCATTTCTATGCAAATGAAGAAGTTCTGATATCCTGCGGACACAGTACCTGATGCGGTTGTGTTTCCAGCTGAATCAACAATCGATGAAATGACACCACCTTTTTCTAGTATGGCAAGTAACACACCTAAAATTTTTTTTTTAAATAAAGTATAGAGAACGGAATTGGAATGGAGAAGAAATTTAGAAACCAAATAAATTTCACATTACAAAAAATGATTTTCTATTGTGGGAATGAAAATAGAAAGAAATTATTTTCGCTGTTTTTGTTAAAGACCATTAAGTAGGGTGTTTAACGATTTCTTCTAGCCATAGTCTATAGAATCGTTTAGTGTTCGATTTTAAGGCCGAAAAATATTTCAAAAATCTAACGTTTTAATTTCCTTTTACATTTTGAACTTCGCGTGCTTTCATAGTTGAACTTTCTTTTTATGTTGTCAAAGAACCAGAATCAGAAGACACAAAAATTGTGGATTAAGTTGAATCTAATCTATTTTAATTACTATCTTTACCATTATCTTACTTAAGTTACATCAACAAAGTCAAAAGATAAGGAATAAAATAAATGGATAGACGAAATTCTCAAGTGTTTTTGTACACTTTAGTTCGAAATCCCTAGTTCTGCATTGAAAACATCTTCAAAAAGAAATTTAAAAGCATTTCAGAGCTGTTCTGATAAGCAAAAAAATAACTGGAAATCCCACACATCGAATTATTAAACAGAACAGCTCTTAAATAAATTCATGTCAATTAATATTTACGTAAACAACTTTACGCAATTGGACAATTCATCATGACTAAATAGCTAGCCATATAACCGCTCCATGATTCGAAATCACTAAGTGAGTGTGAATTTTATTTGTAGCATTTTATGTTGCATTTAAGTAGTCACATAACAGTCGTATGGTGTTCAAGGAAACAGCCATGAATCAAGTAGACGCAAAAAAAATATCGTCGATAAATTCCAAAATACATTTTCATTGCCACAGACAGACATCGAAGATATTTCTCAATCAGACTCACCTTGCCAAAAGCTCAAGAAGATGACCGATTTAATTGTACAAAACTTAAGTACAGGATCAAATGGTGTCAATAAATCACGGGTTGCAAAGTAAAAGAGATAGAGTCCATAAAGAGCCAACGAAACTGACACATTATAAATGATTGTAATATAGATATATCCAGTATTTGCACTCCAATCGCCGTCATGATAATGTCCAGAAGATTGTAGGAAAATTATTATGAAAGCCATTAAAGGTTTAACTAGACAAAATTGGAGTGTTGCCTGCTTGCAGAAGCGCAAGAATCCAATGGTATATGTCTTTCCAGCTAGACAACATGTTCCGTATAGACATGATGACTTGATAGGCTTTCCACGAATTTCTGACATGATGTTTCCTTCCCCGCCGAGGTATTCATAACACAGTGCCAAAAAGTTGTAAATTACAAAAGCTACAAAGAGAAAGATGTGGAAGTAGAAAATATATAATCATCATAAAAAAGGTATATGGAAATTTCCTAGCTTGACATTGATGATGATTCACACTTACCTTCATAACAGTCTCGTACGGTAAAAAAATATATGTAAACGCTCTCTGAATTAAAGAACATTAAACTTATCCATGAATAGGTTGCATAAATGGGCACTATAAACAGAATACGAACTATCCATCTCTGTTCTTGGGGATTTGTGTACCACCTCAAGTGATGATAAATCTGTTGACATGTTATAAATAGTGCTACCCATACAGCGATTCCGGCAGTTATCTGGCATGTTTTTGTCTGTAGAAATATTCCATCACCGACGTGACTTAATAACTGTGGATCAATTGGTAATAAAGCTGGAGTCTCTGTCATTGTGTGATCACGTAATGTTAAATTTGAAGTAGTTTTATTAATGGCATCGGATACTGTACTCATAATGCTATTATCAGTTGTGGATGGATTTTCCATGCCTTGCTTAATAAGCGCGCTCTTAAAATTCTTGTTCTTTGTCTGTTCTTCAGCAAGCAATCAAATTAAATGGAAAGAGAAACAAGATATGAGCATGAATGAATGAATATATCCGCGTTATAAAATAAAAACTAGTCTTGAAGTGTGAGATCATTACGAATTTGTTGGATGCAAGCATTGAGTCAAGGCAGAAATTAAACGAAAAATTAATGCTTCAATAATTTTTCCCAATAAAAAAAGTATTGAAATTGCGTAGATTTTTTTCCCACAAAATAAGCGGTTATCTTACAAGCTTATTATTATTCAAACTAGTAAATTGAAACCTTACAAGGTACTTGCATTGCTTTCTTTGGCTTAGTTTTATATTTCTATGTAAGATTTTGATTGTGGCTTCACTTTTAAATAGAAAAATAATAAAATGTATGTGCAACGTCCATATGGTATTATATTTTTTCCTAGCCCCAGTAACCTTGAGGAAACATGCAAACCAGTTTGTTGTTTTTTGATGTGTGCCTGTCTGTATATATAGATGACATTTAATTGATGAAAACCGAGCACAATAAAATATGACAATCTTTATTCAGTGAGGTTACTTCTCCATTGTATTTCGCTAATATACAATATTATTTGACTGACGACACCTTTGTTCTCTCTCGATGGAAATTATAAAATATTTTTTTATAGTCAAAAAAATTGTATTTTGTGTTGTTGAACCATATTTTTTTCATGAAGTTGTATTGTAAACATATGTACGGAAAAAAGCATTTTGTTCCAACTATAGTTTTTGTTGTTTTCCATCGAGGAACATAAGAAATCGTTCATCTATGACGTATGTTGTCCGAAAAAAAACGAGCGTTTAGAAAATTTGAATTTTTAACGTTTTTTTTCGAGTTTAAATTTTAATGCTTTGTGATTTGTCAAAATGGCGCAACACTAGAGTCCACTTCAAAAAGTATTTTTAAGTTTTTGCAAGCTTAAATTGTGAAAAATAATAACAATTTGAGCTCAATATATGTGAAAAAGTGGCAATGATCTAGCATAAGTCATTTTGTGGAGATTGTTTCACAAATTTTCACAAAAAACCCCAATAATTATTATGCATTAGTTTCAGTTTATCATCTGTTGCAATTTCATATTTGAATGATTATATATATTGATTTAGAGACCAGACTCTAGTTAAACATCAGACACAATACCCAGGACGTCATACATGAACAACTCCCATAATACATTTAATAAATAAAGCAATAAGGTGTTTTATTTCGGAAAATCAATAACTATCTATGTGGTGTAAATGTATAAGGGTTAGTCAACAATATTGTTTAGCTTATCATTTCCCAACTTGATGCAACATACACATCAGTCATTTAGAACTGAAAAATTCACAGTTTAGGTTTGATAAGGCAATCTTGTCATTTTAAATATGAATGACTAAGCTAGCAGCAGCAGCTACGTCACTTGAATTGTATTACATTGACAAAATCTTGAATGGAGACTATGGGAATCGTGAGACAGAGAAGATGGTGTAGAGGAAAATTACAAATTAAGCCAAGTACATGGAAAAATAGTTCAAAGACACAGTTTCTTCTTATTTCGGACTTGTGTATTGGAATGCTCACTTCTTTTTTTTCGTAATATCTTTTTTTTTCTTACTTCACTCACTCATATTGTAATTATCCACATCTCGTTATTTTCGTGAATAACAGTTTATATTTGTTGTTATGTGGATATTGCATTGTATTTTTCTCTTCTTTACTTACCTTTCACTATAGTTTTCGTACACTCAATTGTATAGATGTTCAATATGTATATTTAAAACAAAAAAATATAAAAATTAATTGAAGAAATTGAAAAATGATTCAACGAGGCAGGCAGAAGTCTTATTTTCTTTCTCGTCGCAATTTCCTTCCTTATGTGAAAAATTTATCCAATATTGTTGATTCTTATGTATAATATGTGGTCTTTTATCAGATTTTTAATTACATTAACTGACTTCACAATCATAATTTAGGAGCGTATTGACATTATTTCACTTCTCTGAACAGTTTGAATCAGCAAAATTTTCAATAATTTTTTTCACGCATTCACTAAAAGACTTTTTTCGTTGCCTTATTTTTCACATTAGCACTTCGATTTTTGCGTTAATTCGACTACTTTTAATTGTATCTGTTGCAGAAATTTTTACTTAATTAAGAATTAACATAATAACTTTTTGAATATTATTAAAAAAGTTGAAAAATATAAGAAAATTGATTTTGTGTCTTCATGAAATTTTTTCTACTTTTTTACTTCGAATTTTTATTTTAGTTCTACAGGTCTGCGAGGTCTACAAATGTATTAGCATGCATGGATTTTGGATGTAATTGCTGTTGTGAGCTGTTTGTCCATTTTTATTGCTGCAATGCTAGGATTTGCAACTAATGATTTAACTTGTGTTAAAGACCCCCTCTTATCTCAAATCGTTTTTAATTTTGTCCCTTTTATAAACCAAAATCTTTCTTTTTAAATATAATGCTTTTGATACAATGCTCAATAATTTAAGTAAATTGTTTTGTTAAAAATTCAACGGATTTTAAAAATTTGAAATATTTTTGTCTCACATTTCAAATTCAAAATTTAAGTTTTTAAAAATGTAACGGATTTTAAACAAAAAACCAGTAAAATTATCTTAATTTTGTCCAGGGTTGCAAAAACATAGGGCTCGGTCGAATAAAAAGTTCCATTGAATTTCAACGGTTTTTTTGAAATTCAATTTTTGTTTCTTTCCCCTTCAATAAATTGAAACATTTATTTTGCAAAATATCATTTAAATTAATATCAATGTTTTCTTTTGAGCATTGTAATGCATCCAATAAATTTTTCTTGATCTGTTCCTAATTTTTCAGCTTCCAAATATGTGTAATTAATGAGCTTCAAACGATTTTTTTAATTCACATATTTTTTTGTGATGTAAACAAACGAAAGAAATAATTCAAATTTTGACCGTTATGAAAAAAGTGTTTCAGAAAAATCATTAATTTAACTAATTTAAACAATCTTTTTGACGATTTTAATAGCAAAGGGTTATAAAGAATTGAAAATCCTACAATTTGATATAATTTTTGTATCTTCTAATGAAGTTTTCGCAAAGTTATTACTATTTTTTGTGAAAATTCAAAATAATGGAACTTTTTTTCATTGTCAGAAATCGATAGTTTTTTGGATTTTCTAGGTTAATTAAAAGACTTTGTGATATGTTATGCACATGAAAACGCTCGTTTTCAAAACCTTTATAACACTACTTATTGAGATAATTACGGAGATATCCAGGAAAAGAGAAAAACGTTAACATTTTTTGATTTCTGACACTTATTTAACAAACGACCAAGCCCCATATTATGTTTTACAGAATATGCGCATATATGTGACATATTTTATGTGTGACACATGAAATTATGTCACACATTTTACATGTTAACACATTTTTTTCTGCGATATGTCAAACATATTCATGTGCCACATATTTTTCCTGTCACATAATATGTTTTACAAGCATAAAATATTTTTTGACAAATTTTTGATTTTTCGGTCTAAGTTGGATAAAATTTAAATTTTATTAATTTTGGACCTTAAGAAACCTTTCCTGGTAGTAAAAAATGAGCAGAAACAATTGGAAAATGTTATTTATAAGCAATAAAAAATGTTCTTGTCACTCAATATTTTCAATTTTTTGATTTTTTATCATTAATGATTTGCTTAGAGTCAAATTTGATAGAAAATTAATTTTTGGACCTTTTTAATCTAATTTGGATTCCAAAAAAACGGGAAAAACATATTTTATGTTAGAAAAACATAATATGTGACACATAAATAATGTGACAGGTAAAATATGTGGACACATGAATATGTTTGACAGGAAATATGTTTGACATATCGCAGAAAAATATGTGTTAACATGTAAAATGTGTGACATAATTTCATGTGTCACAGGAAATATTTTTTTGACATGTCATCACATAATGCAACCCTAATTTTATCAATATCTATAGCAGTTGCCTTAAATGCGTTAACTTCACTCACCGAATATGAATTTCCAACCAGTCTCTATTAGATTTGTTTTTGTTTTTCTTTATTCTAAGGTTTCTTCAACTTAATTTTTTAAAAAATGGCCTTAATTAACATAGAAGATGATTTTGATTCGTGGTTATCTGATTTCTCAGCATTAGAGCGACTAGCTACACAGATTACAACGCAAATAACCGAACGAGATTCACAAAATACTGTTACAGGTACCTGAAATTATTCACAAATGAATCATTCCTTATCAATTAATTAAACTGTTGATCTTATCTCCAACAAATCATAAAATATAGAGTACAATAAAATATCTACACGCTTGAAAATACAAATTAGACAGTTCGAGAATGAATATAAACAGCTTGAGAGAAAACTTCAAGTGCTTGGAAGGCAAGGAAAAGTTACATCCGATGAATTAGAGCGTAGAACTCGTCAATTAGAACAAATAGCATCGAAAAAGGTCCAAATTGATTCAAGATTCCGAAATGCATCAGCTTCTTCTTCACGCAATCAGTTATTCCAAACAGCTGCAAGAAATAACATTTCTGATGATGATCCAATTCTAAATCCAGAAGTTCCAGTTGAAGTTTTCAGACAGGAACAGCAACAAATCATTAGACAGCAAGATGATTCTCTAGAATCACTGTCTAAAGTTATATCTCGCCAAAAGAATATAGCCATAAGAATTGGGAATGAAGTTGATACACAGAATGACATTATCGACAATATTGCTGATCAAATGGATACGATGCACAGTCGAGTGAGCAGCACGACTCAAAATGTTGAGAATGTTGCTGATAAAGATTCTACTTTTGGCTATTGGATGGTAATAATCATCCTATTAGTTGCAATAATTATAATTGGAATTCTCTAGTTCCACTGCTGTTCTGCTTAAGAAGCTTAATGTGACTGTATACCTAAAAAATAATAATTATATCGATATATATCCAATAAAGTAAAACATTAAATTGATGTCATTTATTTAATTTTTTTTTTGTTTTATTCTCTTTTTATCGGAAGTGGCATTTACACTGTAACTCTTGACTGCCTTGATGACGGAAACAATATTATAGTTCCAGGATTTTCTTTTATTTGACATTAAATACCCAATTTATTTAGTTTTAACAGATAATAATCTAATTTTAATGAAGGATTTATTTGTTTAATTCAAATCTGCGGCATATGGAACGTGCTCTAAGTTTCCTACTGCTCCTATGGACACTTTGTTTGAGAGTTTGCGTGCAGCCTTAAAAAATAATCAAAATTAGTCAAGTAACATTTAAAGGATATAAAATCATCTTACGGATTTGATGTCACCAGCTTGTACGGCATCAATTGCATCGAAACAGCCCTTTAATGTTAATGTATTTCCATAAACAATGCCTTGTACACCGAGTTCTTGAACGAGTGATCCGTCTGTTTCATAGATGAATGCAAGTTCAGATTTTAATTGAGCCTTTCCACGTGCAATATCTTCGTCTGATGGTGAACATGATTTTAATGTTTTAATTCCAGCCTCGACTGCGATTCCTGCTTCTTTTGCTGGTCCACTGACGACGAAACCGAAAAGACCATTGTCTGAATAGCTTGCATTAAGTGTTGTTGCTCCTGTATTTGGTGCTGCTGCTTGAATAGCCTTAACAAGAACTCCAGCACTTTGTCCCCATTTTGTGGCTGGTCCAACTCCTCCTGCACGTTGTAAAACGGCAAAAGCAATACCTTCTTGAAGATTTGACCATCCAGCACCGTTTGTAGCTACAGCAACTGATGCATTCTTTCCACCACGTTCACAACGAACATCAGCTCCACCATAATATTTGTTGTCATTCTTTGCACCTTCACCAGATCCAAGTTGTAAGCTTTGAGCATATCCTAAGAGCATTTGATGATCAATATTAACACCTGAGACAGCACCACGATTGGCTGTAAAGTTGCTTTCGAAGAAATGTTGGAGTGTTTCGCTTGAAATTTTGCCTACTTTATGATCTGGACAGTATAATGAGTTTCCAAGACCAGTACGATATGCAGCTTGATGGAGGAGCTCAACGGCACGAACTTGATTTGAAACATTAGCTAATTCAAGCTTGACTCGTGGTGTACTGTCTGCAATCTCCCATGGTTTGAAAAGTTGTCCAGTTACGGACTTTTCTAAGTATTGAAGTGCTGTCTCTAAATTATCACGAGTCACTTCAATTGTATATGAGAGAAGTTCACGATCAGCTGTTACTGACAAGCTTCCACCAACTTGCTGAACATTTCGTGTGATTCCAAAAGTTGATGCATGTTTCGTTGATAATCCAGCAGCGACTCGGATGATGTGAGCAGCACCTAAATTATCGTGAGTCTCGTTACGGGATCCAGCTCTGTAATAAAAGAAGCCATAGATTAGTTCCAAAAAAGTGTTTATTTGGCAATTATAAGATGAAGATTTTACTTGAAGGCGACCGAGATGCGAGAAATTGCACTTCCAGTCTCTGTAGACGAAACAACGAGCTTATTTGGTAAGGTTGTTGTTTGAACATCACCAGATTTCAAAGCTGCAGCGACTGCTGGTTGTGAGGCATATCCACGGGCCTAAAATATATTTAAATTAAGAAAATTAAAATTGCATAACACCTCAATTTTTGACGACTAAGAAAATTTCACTTAAAATCCACTTTTTTTCATCATCCTCTTTGTTTTTATGACTTTAAATACTTACAGCTAATGTTCTGAATAAAGGAATCTTGGAAACCGCAGCAGAATTAGCCATTCTTCGTTATATTAATATTAAATTTAATGTTTTTTCTAATCGATGAAATAAACCAATCAATGGTAAAGCTGAATGACAGGCTGAAAAATTCTGAATTCAAAGATTTAAAATTAAATAACTCGTTAAACGATAGACTGATTTTTAAGACACTTTTGTTTTAAGTTAATTCTTACAAAAAGCTTCTTTTAAAAGGAATTATTGACTTATCAAAAATTAACGGATATCTTCAATTTCAAAAAAAGAAGTTCAAAATTTGAACTTTGCATATAACGGTTTTTGAAAATTTGAATTTTATTATTACTGACACTTTTGTAAACAAAAAAAAAATGTGAAAAATTCATCAAAATTTAAAATTTGCAAAAAAGTGATTAAAATTAAAGGAACAGAGAATGTAAGAGCATTGGAATCTATGGAATCAGCCATATTTCGAAGGGGCAGTCGACTTTCGGAATAAATACATAGAGGAATAACTTAAATAATCGAAAAAAGAAAAATAAATCTTAAAAGAATAAAAAGGCTTTTAAAAGACATTTAAAGCTGTGTAATCAGTACAGTGGATATTGACAAAGACAGTGAAATTGGAGTAAATAAAGGAAACGATTCAAAATGGCCAATTTCTTAAATAATTTAACATCAAATCTTTCAAATCCATTAAACTCGAAAATTGGTCTTAAAATCGGTAAGAAAAACATAAAAATCATTTAAAACAAACAGTTTGGGAATCAATTATTCATTCATATAAAGAACTTTTCGTCTAGCAAAGTCAATCGATTTTCTTACGTATCACGAATTTTCCTAATTTTTCCTGCTTGATGGAAAAACAACAACAAGGATCATGAAAAACACAAAAATATTAATTTATTACGGCACATAAAAGAAGAATTTCATGCAAATATCTTACTTCCGAAAGCGTTTCAATAAGAAGACATTCAGTCGTAAAGATCCAGTAAACAATAATTTGAGTTTTGGACTGTTTACTGTTTATTTAATTAGCGACTCATCGTCACAAATGTGAATCATATCATGTAGGAAGATAAATGATTTGCAATTTGCAGTCATTACAACAACAAAGGGCGAACAGATTCCATCGGTAAATTAAGTACAGCACATAAAGGAATAAGAAGAGGAAAACTCAAAAAACTCTTTACTGAAATCTTATCAGACAAATAAAGTTTATTTTTGTTTGTAGCCCGTAAATGACAGCTCATGATATGATTTTGTAAACTCAATTAACCTTTGTCAAATATGACTAATTACGTAGTTGATGCAAATTTTAATATATATTTTTTAATTGATTACAGAGCAAGCAACAGATCCGAGTTTAGATCAAGAAGATTGGTCACTTAATATGGAGATATGTGACATGATAAATGAGTCTGATGCAAATTGTAAAGATGCTATGAAAGCCATACGTAAACGATTAACACAATACATTGGCAAAAACTATAGTGTGATTCTGTAAGTTCTCGAAAAAGTGCTTAATTGCGTTCTTAATTCACTAAATTCTCGCTTATAGATTTACGTTAACAGTTTTGGAGACTTGCGTAAAGAATTGTGGCAAAAATTTCCATGTATGCGTTGCAAACAAAGAATTTATTCAGGAACTAGTGAAGCTCATCAGTCCAAAACATGATCCACCGATTGCTGTTCAGGAAAAAGTCCTTAGTCTCATTCAGACATGGGCTGAGACATTCGCAAATCAGCCAGAATTAAAGGGAGTCGTTGAAATTTACCAAGAATTGAAGAATAAGGTAAAATTGCTGCGTGTAATTTGATACGAATGTAAATTATTAATTAATTCTTATTCTCTATTTATTCAGGGTATTGAATTTCCTGTAGTCGATCCTGAAAGTATTGTTCCAATCTATACTCCACAAAAGGTAAAATTATCTCGAACATATGTTAATGCACAAACAGCTAATAATATTGATTGATTCTATAATTAAGAGTGTTGCTACGCCGCCACCTAAGCAAGTATCTGTTCAACGTTCACCACATCATGATATCGTAGACTCACCGATACATGCAGTCAATGTTGCAGCTGGTGCCAGTGGAGTCAGTGGAATTACACCAGATCAGATTGCAAAGTTACAATCAGAACTGGATATTGTTGGCATTAATATTACAATATTAAGTGAAATGTTAACAGAATTGAAACCAAATCAAGAATCGCCTGCCGATTATAAATTACTTATCGATTTGGTCGGTACGTGCAAAGAAATGCAGACACGAATTGTCGATCTAATTGGAAAAGTCAGTAATGACGAAATAACGGCTGAATTATTGCGATTGAATGATGAACTTAATATTTTATTCTTACGTTACCAACGATATGAAAAGAATCGTGATCCAAAGACTGCAACAGATAAAACTCCGTCAGCTATTTTGGGTGCTGCTATGGGTGAGTAATTCATGCTCTACTTTGTTCCTTTTGGTAAGCTAGAGTTAAACTGCTATTATCTTGTATTTAGGCATTCCATCGTCATCAACCATTGATCAAAAGGATTCATTAATTGATTTAGGTGATCAAGCAGCGGGCTGTGATCTTAACACTAAGTTTGGGGCTATGTGTAAGTGCTAAAGTCTACCGTTGAACAATTAATTGTTAATTTAAAACTATCACAGTCCAATTAATGAGACCATAAAATAATAATAACAATTATTCCATTGCCATTGTAGCAACTTCACAGTTGAGTAAGATAAAAAGTACACCAGCGAAAGTAGACACCGAATTCGATATGCTGGCACAATCAAGAAGCACTGATGCGAAGAAGGAACCAGACGTTGATCTCTTACAGTCAAAACCAGCGGACTTTGACGAGATTGAAGAGTGGCTGAAGGCTGAAAAGTCAGCAAATGGAAAAGATGGCGAAGAGAGCTTAACAAGCAAGGAGTTTGATAAGTTTTTGGCTGAACGAGCGGCTGTCGCAGACACATTACCAACAATAAATAGTCGAAGTAGTGAGAAGAAGAAGCAAGAAGAACCTTTACTAGGTTAGTAAGCTGTCCTTAAAATATTACTAGATATTTGTAAGATGATGATGATGATGATAATGTGTTAAAGTATGTAGTTTAACATACAGTATGAGTCATAAAGAATAACTATTTTTACTAAAAAGATAACAAAAAATTGAGTATGATACGTTGGATACGACATAAATTCTTATTATCTAATCTTTTTTCGTCGAGTCTTTTTCTTACAATCAAAGCTATATAAATTAATTATAAAGGAACGAAATTATGCTGTCAACTATAGAGTAACAAATTCATTCATTCGCTATTAATGTTTCCTTTTCGGCACCGCAAGCTTCTTATGGTGTTTATTAATGCTGATTGAATTCCTTTTTAGTTGTTGACGTAGTTTGAGCTTTTGCCAAACCAATTATTAATATCAGTTTTATACCTGATTTGTGTTATTATTTTAATTAATTTATTTGAGACAAAAACATATTCGATTATTATTATTTTTTATTTAAATTAATTAAAAAAATGATCAGAATGTAAATTATTGTTGTAAATCACAAATGCTTTAAAAGAAATATTTTTTAAAATTCCAAAAAAATTAGATGTAAAGAAATTATTTTTTTTTGTTTTGTGGGAAGACGTGCATTTTTTCGCCTACAACAAGACATTTACCTATGCAGAATGATATAGATTATAAATTGTAAAACTACATGATATATATTATTAATAATTGATAGAAATCAACCTTTTTGAGAAACAAAACAAGAATTAATGTAGCGGAAAAAGTAATGATTAAAATTAAGAAATTGGAATGATTTCTTTAACAATTTATTAAATAAAAATCTGTTTCAAGTGCAAGACATAAATATTGACTTTTACTTTATTGCTTTTTATGCTGAAGTTTAAATTATTCATTAATTAACGGCTTTAAAGAATTCAAAAATTATGATTTTGAAAGTTCAAATTCATTTTGTTTCAGTTCAAAATTTCAAATTTATAAAGCTCGTTATAAATTTTGAATCTCAAAAAACCATTAAAAAGACATTCATTATCAGGATTTTGAAAGGCAATGAAGCATACATGATAATGATTTAAAATCAGGTTTAAAGCTGTGTTGCAATACATAGATCTTCTGCAACAATTTTAACAAACGAGCCATTTAAATTTTAATATAAAATTCATCATTACTTTATTCAATTAATTTAACTTTTTCATTGTCTACAACGAATCCTTTTGATTTCTTCAACTTCTTACTAAATTTACTTTCTAGCTTTTCGCTAATTTCACTTCCGGAAAATTTCTTGTATCGATTAAGAACTTTCTTCTTCAATTTTGACAGCTTGATTTCGTTATTTTTATTGACGAGTATGCTTCGTATAACTTCAGTCCAATTAAATTTCTCAGCTGTTTCCTCCTGTGTATTACCATTTTCAGCTTTAACTTCATCGTCGACCTTTTTCTTCTTTGCTTTAGTTCCATTTTCTTCAGGCTGCACTTCATCCTCAATTTTGCGTTTATTCGCATTGCCATTTGTAGTTCCATTCTGTGGCTTTGGCTCAGGCTTGTTTTCCTTTAAAGCAACTTTCAGCAGATCCCAAGCTTCCTCCAATTCATTGTATTTAAAATATTTAAAGGAATTCTTCATAAAATTTAAGAACTTTGCTTTTTTACGAGGAATATTGTCATAAGATGATATTGTCTGCAGGACATTTGTGACACCTTGTGAGAGATTTGCATTCTTTTCACCAATCGACCTAATCACGTCAACCTAAAGAAGAAATAAACATTCATATTAACATCCAGAATACAAAATACAGCAATAATTAACTTACCCAAGCTTCCTGTTTCTTCTGTCCTTTATTTTGATTAGCTTTCGGTACATAATCTTTGCCTGAATACCTCTGTGCCTCAGTAATACATGTATTATGGACATTATATTCATCACCATAAAAATCTTTAAAACAATCCATGCAAGAAACAGAAATATCCTTTCTACAGCGAAATTTATGCTTGTCTACGACTTGTTTTTTAAGGCTTTCACCGCAGTGATTGCATGTGAATACGACCATCGTTTAATATACTATAATTAACCACTTTTAATTGAATAAAATTATTTTTTAAAAAATTTTGTTTTATTTTCAAAACATGTGTTTGATTTTAATGGTAAAACTGAATTCAAATTAATTTTATCCGTTACAGTCGTTTTATGAATTACAATAGATTCCAGCTTCCCAATTCAACTCAATTCTTTTAGCTTTAATTTAAATCATTTTAAGCATATTAAAATCCAATTTAATCAGATATTGAGACAAAAAATCTCTTGTTTCGTTAAGTTTTAACGAACTTTAAAATTTTGAAACTAGTTTCGTGAAAATTTTGGTTGATTTTGAAAGAAAAAAGAAAAAAAGGAAAAATTAATAAAAAAACCTTAATTAGAGCGATCCTTTAAGTTTAAAAATAAGCTGGTTGGCAAGTGATCTGTGCATTATGATACAATATTGAATAAGATATATAAAAGATGTGCAGTTAATCACATAACGAATAAAAAAAGAAAAAAAATCGAGTTTAAAATTATTTGGAAAGTTGAAGTAACATACATAAATATCCCTAAAAAATGGAATCTGATGATATGGATTACTCAGATGACGATGATTTAGACGATGCAATGGATTATTATGGTAAATACAGTACTCAAAAAGTAGATGGGAAACGAGAAAAGTGTAAAATTGAGGATTTTCCAATATAATGGAAATAGTTCAATTTCTAAGGATTCTCGATGACTAATTATAGTGCATTTATCTCATTATATAATAAGCTCAATTGCTGTCCAAAACATGTGATGTAAACTTTCGAATAACGTAAAAGTTTGGTGCAATACGTAAAACTTTCATTTATGTAGTATTCGTTGTACATACAGTATACAGCATATCCTTGAACTTTTTTCTCACGCTTTTGCATTGTATGTACTTTATTATATTTTCTTCATCATATATACATGCCACTACCTTTATGTCTGCATTCAAGTTATTGTCAAAAAAAAATGTTGTCTACAAGTTTATGCGGTAGAATATGATTGAATAATTTCCCATGCATTGAGTGCTATTCTTAACATTAACAACTGACTGCGACTCCCGCAGAGACCTTAATACTAATGAAATCATTTTGTTTTGTTTAATATTGTAGGAAATGAAGATGATATCGATAATGTCGACCCGAAGAAAACAGATCCAGAATTCTTTATGTATGAATGTCTTACAGTCGATGAAGTGGAAAAGGTCCTGAATGAGTCTGTCGAGAAACTTAGTAATTCGCTTAAAATCACACCGTCTTTAGCAAAGGTTCTTTTAAATGAGCATCGATGGAATTCAAACGATATTATTGATAGATATCGAGATAATGCTTCAAATCTTCTAGTTAGTTCACGTATAAAATCAGGAAATGGCAAGAAAGTGGCACATGTTACACTATTATGTCCCGTATGCATACAATCCCATACTTTCGATAAATTTCAAAACCTTTCTTGTGGACATTCGTTTTGTAAAAACTGCTGGTCAATGCATTTTGAGATACAAGTTTCGCAAGGTATATCCACTCAAATTCGATGTATGGCTGCAGGTTGTGATGTTTTAGTTCCCGAAGATCTCGTATTAAGCTTAATAAGTCGTCCTCAAGTTCGTGATAAATATAACCAGTTCTCATTTCAAGACTACGTCAAATCTCACCCCGAGTTGCGGTTTTGTCCAGGTATGCATTTCCTTTAAAACCTTTTTTACTTAATTATTGAAAAAAAAATAAATTTTTGTAGGCACAAACTGTCAAGTGATTATTAGGAGTCAAGACTTGAGTTCAAAGAAGGCTTCGTGCAAGACTTGCCAAACGTCCTTTTGTTTCCAATGTGGAAACGACTATCATGCACCAACAAATTGTGTTACAATCAAAAAGTGGCTAACAAAGTGCGCTGACGATAGTGAAACTGCCAATTACATCTCTGCCAACACTAAAGATTGTCCAAAATGCAATATTTGTATAGAGAAGAATGGAGGATGTAATCACATGCAATGTAAGCATCCTCAATTAATGGCTGAATCAATTAATATTAATTATATTCTTTAAGGTATGAATTGTAAGCATGATTTCTGTTGGATGTGCTTGCATGACTGGAAAAGTCATGGTTCTGAGTATTATGAATGTTCAAGGTACAAAGAGAATCCAAATATCGCAAATGAAAGTGCACATGCTCAAGTAAGCTTTAATTATTATTAATCTCTGAGATTATTATTTATTGAATAGAACTTAATCCACTTGCAGGCTCGCGAGGCACTCAAAAAGTATTTGCACTACTATGAACGTTGGGAGAATCACTCGAAATCCCTTCAACTTGAGCAGCAAACATTAGAGCGTCTAAAAAATCGAATAAACGAGAAAGTGATGAAAGGCCTTAATTCTACATGGATTGATTGGCAATATTTATTTACTGCTGCTACTCTTCTCGCAAAGTGCAGATATACGTTGCAATACACTTATCCGTTTGCTTATTATGGTAATTAAAGCTTTATTTTCATTGTTTGTGGATATTAGAACCTTACAATTGCTATAATTTTGAGTCTGAAACCTTACAAATGTTTAAAAAATGCAACAGTTTTATCAAGCTTTGAAAGCTATACAAATGTTTCTATAGTGCTTAAAAACCATACAACAGTTTCTAAAATGATAAAAACCATACAAATTCTAATTTTTGAAACATTTGTAAGGTTTTTAAATTTTAAACATTTGATTTTACTTCATATATTGATTTTCTTGATTGGAAGCAGTGTTGCATTCTGGCTATTTGTCTGGATCAGATAAATTCTGAGACAGAAATTTCTTCATAAAATCGATTCTACATGTAGAAAGAAATAAACCATCTACATGTAGATTGTGTCTACATGTAGAATCTGTCTACATGTAGATTTAATGTAGATGTCTACGATTCTACATTCTTCTCTGATGTAGACCTGGAAAAAATGTAGAATTATAGACATCTACATCGAATCTACATGTAGACAGATTCTACATGTAGACACAATCTACATGTAGATGGTTTTTTTCTTTCTACATGTAGAATCGATCTTTATGAAGAAAGTTTCTTAGCTAGACAAAAACTATTGAAGAATCTACATTCTTCATCTAGTGTAGACATCTACATTTGCAACACTGATTGGAAGAAATAATAAAATAATGTTTTACAGCCTCTATGGACCCAACATCATCAAGAAAAGATTTATTCGAGTATCAACAAGGTAAGAAAATTAATATTTTTTATTAATCTACATCATAAAATTAATGTTAATTAACTCATTCGTCTCATTTAGCACAACTCGAAGCCGAAATAGAGAATTTATCATGGAAAATTGAGCGAGCTGAAACAACCGATCGTGGTGAAATAGAGAATCAAATGGATATATGTGAAAAGCGACGATTAACGTTACTGAAAGATTTCTTTCCCACCACGACATCCGATATGAATAGTTAAAGATAATTCTTTTAATTCGCATTAAAATTAATCGTTTAAAGCGTGTCTTTTTGTTTCAAAACTTTTTGATTTTGACGAGAAGTGAAAAAAAAAATTATGTCCCACTTATTTTTAGAAAATGAACTACCTAAGTGTCAGGTGATAATTTGTTTTATCGATTTGATAAAATTTCTGCAGAGTTTGACAATACAAATTGGTAAATTGGCATGTTTGACAAATCAATCAACTCGTTTGCGGCCTGTCGATTCCATCAATCGTCAACTCTGGATTTAAATTTACTTTTTGCAGAAACAAAACCTAAATTTCGGATTTTTATAATAATTTAAAATTAAATGTAATGTAATGTCTAATTCTAAAAGTGAATGTGTATTGTAAATCCTTGTTCTAGATTTAAAAGATTTTTTTTTCATTTTAAAACGCGAGGATAAGAAAGATTAGTTTAATTTATTAAATAAAATACAATTTTGTCGTCCTAGGAAGTGCGACTGTTCTCAACATTCATTTTTTCGGCGGCATTACTAGATATATAATAATATTTTAAAAAATTGTGGAATAAAAAATGAAAAGATTTTTAATTGCAAATTCATAAATGTCTCGTTAACTTTTTCTTGCTGGTTTTATTTTAGAATGTTAAGGGATACATCCTTATTTTGTCAAATTTCACGGTATTTTTAAAAAAAATTTAATCTATTTTTCAAATATTTTTCAACCGTTATTTCTCAAAATGTTGAAACTTTTTAAAACACCTGAAAATGCTCGTCTTGCCTCTTCATTGCAAGCATTTATTACTCCAATTTCTCCCTTACAGTCTCTGTGGATGAAAGCTTTCATTTAAACGCCACATAAAAGCTCATAAAGTCCCACACACGAGTGTCAAATACAAGACTTATCAACAAGAGTCTAGACGTTTATTATTTATAGCAGGAAAAAGGTATGAAAGTAATTTCAAATCAGAAAAACACAATGTTGGAAGCAGAATCCATAGAAACAATTTTTTTCATTGCAATAACATCCTCTCATGCTCTATATAAATTCCAAAAAAAGTACCCACATAATAATTTTCATAAAAAAATGAAATTCCGAACGAACGAAGAAGTAAAAAGTTATAAAGATGAAAGGAGCAGCTAAAGTCGCACACTCAGTTGCTAAAGCATCATCTCGGGGGTGTTGTTGGGTGGGAAAACTTGAAATGTTTTGAAGGTCACTTGCTTTTTCCTTTATGTATGTCGACTACATCTTACGAAAAAAATTGTTACAACAAATGACCTTGACAATAGCCTTGCCCGGAACTTTCGATTTGGTAACACACAAAAATCTCCGAGAACTGATTATGGAGCATAATTTTATCGATTGGAAATGAAAGATAAGAATTTGCCTTCTTGTTTTTAATAATCATTGCTGTGATGGGGCTGTGATGTAAAAGATTGTCCCAACACACCTACATACATATCTCGATGAAAGCTAGAAGCTTCTGTGAAGAAGATCTAAAGCATGCCTAATAATATGGATAAAAATTCTGAAGACGAAGACTTGCTTTATACAGTAACAGTCCTTGAATGTGGAATATATAATGGTCCACTTGAGAAGAAGTAAGCTTTTGAGGACATTCATCTGTTAGAAGCTTGAATAATATTTTTAATTCTTTTTTTTTTGTCTATTCTTTTGAGCCTCATAAAATATTAAGTTCTTCTTGTTAAATTTTTGATCAACGAACGAAATAGAGAAGAACGAGCGAGAAAGGAGTATGAAAAAGTCATGAACAAATGATGATGATGACGATGATATGTCCCGAGCTAGTCAAAACAACAGGTATATGGTTGCTGAATTTGAAGATTTGTAACGGATAATTTAAATTTGAATTCAGTGAATAGTTGCACACTACTTATTGCAATGTTGTTTGAAAATTTTCAGTCTTAATCTAGAACTAGACGAGATATCTAACAGACAAAGAGCACGACCTGAGCATGATTTTTAAAAATCAATTTTTTAATGGAGATCGCAGCAGGGTACCACAGAAATCACGCTCTCAAGAGTACGCTTTTTTACTTGCAAATTATTCATGCAAGTCAAACTTGAAATCATGATCAAGAACATGTTCTGCTGATCATGCTTTAATTTTACTATTTAAAAAATTTATGAGTTTGTGATTATGCTCTTGATCATGTTTTTGAGAAATTGATATTTTTCTTCTTTTTTGGTGATTGCCGTGATTCGAACCCGAGTACGCTGTGTTGTAATATGTCCTGATAACTGATCTTTTTGTCTAATGCCTTCTGAAATTAAATAACTTTCAAATGGCGAACGACATATTTAAACTATACAAAATCCAAAATAATTACTTATATAAAAGTGATTTCTGCTTTCTCTTGTGAAGTATATAGCAAGAAAAATTTGAGCATAATCTCATGAGGATGACAATGATCATGCTTTTTATAAACTCTTCTGATCCTGCTCTTGAGAGTATAAAAAAGATTATGAAGGAAAAACTTGCATGCAAGTTATTTATAACTAGAGGATGATTGAGTCCGCTATTGAACATGCTCTTTACGGGGATCTTGAGATGATGTTGAAAAAGCGTATTCTCAACCGTACTCTTGATCAAGAGCATGTTTTTTGTCTGTTATCGATAACATCAAAAATAATAAATTTAGGTAATTCCTTCTATTTGCAGTCAAAAATTTCTCCTTATCAGCTCTTAACAACCTTCATAACCGAATTTATTTAGTCTACTTTAGGTCAACGAATAGATTATCAAAGTTAAATTGATTCAAATGATCATCGAAAGTGCATAGAGCAAACAACTAATCAGATTTATGTAGATTTTTTGTCAGTGCGGCTTAAATACTACGATTTTATGCGTTAAAAGTTGTCTTTGGAGCTTTTGAGTTTTCCATGTTTATATGGTATATTCAGGGTCGTGTTAAGTGGTTTTTTGTGAGTTGAGGATCAAGACAAGAGGGTTCATTGTATAAAAAAGGCTTTAAGTAGTGCGAAACCGATTATTGAGGGGAAAGTAACGAGTGCTTTCGAATATTCTAGTAAATCATTAAAGCACAATAAAGACTAAGACACTATAGCTCCTCGGGCTACAAACAATAACAAATACTTTGAAAACCCCCCAGGGACCAAAATGAAATGAAAAAAATCTGTGATGAAAAACATTATTATTTTTGATGATGAAAAAAATTATAATTTTTTTCATTTACGTAAATTATTACGTAAAATTTCATCAAGTAAGAATCATTTTTACGTAGGATTTCATCACGTAAAGCAAAAAATGCAATAAAATCACACCAGATGAATTAATAATGCTAAATAATAAGAACAAACGATAGAATAGATTAGTTTTGCTTAAAAAACTTGTATAGAAACATTTTATACGTCATTTTTTGCTTTACGTGATAAAATCCTACGTAAAAATGGTTCTTACGTGATGAAATTTTACGTACTAGTTTACGTAAATGAAAAAAATTAAATCAAAAATAATGATGTTTTTCATCACAGATTTTTTTCATTCATTTTGATCCCTGAAAACCCCAAAAAACTATATCAAACTCTAATTACCCATTGTGTCATTGTCATGGATAATCATCAATTTACCATATCTAATGCGTGAGAGAGACACCACGCAGTTTGTCGTTCGGGTGGGACTGGTTTAAATTCGCAAGAAATAAATAATCGCGAAAGAAATGTTTTCTCTCTTCTCATATATCTAAATTATATACATAGTCAAGACAGTGATCTAAATTTAAATTTTTTTGATACTTTTTTTTACTTCAGCTACGCTTTTCTTTCGTACTTTAATGATTTGATTGATGATTTCTTTTTTCTTTCTTGTTTTCGTAGTCAATTAATTAAATTTCTACGGTCATGTGTATTTGCAAACTTTGAAGAAAAAAAAAAATATATAAAATCATTTTTTTGGGCGAATAGATAGATGGATAGACACAGAAACAAAGATCGAACAATAAATGAGCGAATAGGCAGGCAAGAGAGAGAGAGAGGGAGAAGGCATAGAGAATCGCAAAAAATAAGCTTAAAATTGTCAGTGTGTAAAATGAATGACTCTAAGTCCATCGAACTTTTAGATGAAATTAAAAAAGAAATATTAACGACCTGTAAAATGATGATGACGAAGATGAAGAAGTAAATAGAGAAAACTATTCATTGATTTTTATTTATATTATCATAATTTTTTAATAATATAATTTTGAGATTTTGTAATAATTCAATTTTTTATCCAATCAATCAAATTGATTTTTTACCACGTAATTTTTTTTTTTTGTATTTTGTATTCCTAATCGTTTTTCATCGTACAAAATTTATATTTGCTTTATCGAGGATGAGGTATTTGTTTCATTGAGCACTTTTTTTTAAGTCCCCAAAAAAGACATCTTCAGATCCCACTCCTCCATCCTCCGTTACTCAATCACTTTCGTACTCTTTCAATCACTTTCAATCTAGCTTAGCTCAATTTATTTCCTTTAAATTCATTAAGCAATATTTATATATGTTCTCCTCAAACATCCTTCCGTCCATACTTAAAGCGTATACTAAACACAAACGTAACTTTTTCACATTTAATTTTTTTTTTTCATTTTTGTTGAAATTTGTACCAAATTTTTTCACCTTAAATTTTCTTACTAAAGCTTGCCGAAACCATTTTGTTTTTTTTTTTTTGAATTTTTAATTCTAGATTGAGAACTTTTTCTAGATATTTTTCCTAAAATATCCTCATTTTTTTATATTTACATTCATTTTTTGTTGAGCTTATAGCTCGATTTTTACCAAAATATAAATTTTAGTTTACAATTTTGTTTGTGATTTTTGCGTCTATGTTTTGTATTCGACATCTTGATTCTATTTATTTTGGCGCGTTTTTGGGAATCATAGTTTCTCTATCCCGATCTTCTCCATTTATTACTGACTAGTTGTAAAATAAATGATTTAAAATCATCGTGAAAATCGCATTTTATGCCATGAAAAAAATTAATTATTACAACATAACTGACGTAGGATTCAAGCTTTTTAAATTCCAAAAAGCCGTTAAATTCGATATTATCATTTTAAACGTGAACAGTTCAATTAAATTGACTGTTAAATTATCACAAATTATTGAAATTTATCCTTTTTTATTATTGATTCTCAAAAACACGCCTTAATCAAGTGCCTACTCGTCGTGGTGCTAATTTAAAACTCTCGAACTCTGTGAGTGTAGTATGGGTGTGTACTTTTTTTTTTGAAAAATAACTGTCACTTCAAATGCATTGAGAACATATATAAACATTGATTTGTTAATATATAATTTATCTTCAAATTGTAATGAGTGTAATATTCATTTAATATGGATTTATCTCATTTTTTTGTCATCAACAAACATAAAATATTTTTTTTAAAGATTTTTTTTTCTCAAATTTTTTTGTGTCTCCTCTGTGTGCAAAGACATTAATATGTTGTATTCAATTGGTAAATTTTTAAGCAAATATATTTTTTAATATAATTTCTTTTTTTTTGTATCATCAATATAGGTAGAGCTTAATTTTCTCAAATTGTATTTTTTTAAATAGGTAATTTTAACAAGTTACATTTTTTTTGAAGGTAGATTTTTTGTTGTGAAGTATAGCAATTATTTAATTTTTTTTTAATTGTAATAATTTTTTCTTAAATCTCCTACATTTTTTTCTTCATAATTATACTCAAACATTCCATTCCTTTCTCAGTCGCACCGTCTTATAAATGTTGATAGGAAAACAATTTTGAACAAATGCCTAAATAACAATTTTTTTTCTTAATCTTTGTTTCAGTTTCTCAGCCAAAAAGGTAATAACACAATTTCGATTATAAAATTTTTTTCTTATCATTGTCTAATACCAAATAATCACAATTCCCTTTCTTAATATTAAGTTTTTTTTTCGTTTTCATCTCTCTCATATATTTTTACATTATTCTTAAAATCATAGAAAGAAAAATAATAGTATAAAAAAATTATTGAAGGATCATAAGATGGGATTTTTGTTTAGTAGACCCTTGAGAAAATTTTTAAAAGCCTTTCCACAACATTTCACATTTCAATGTGATACTGTCAATATTTTCATTTTTTTTATGTAATGCACAACGTTGAATGATTCTTGCTTGTCGATAAAACATTTTATGTCCTTTCGAAGAAAAATCATTTTACGTCATTTAGGCCTCAAACATAATCTGTTATTTGATTTTGCCTCATGTTTCTTATTGGCATCATGGGGTGTACTTGATGAGAGTCACCTTGAGAATTTAAGAATCTCTAGATTCATCTTTGACAACTTTAATTCAGTATTCAAGGGGCTTTCCACTAATTTTGATTCAGTTACAATTTAAAAACTCGTTTAACTCCCCTTAGTCCATAGTCAAGTGAACTGCCCCTAGTCATAATCTAGACCGATTTCCAGATAAGACCCCCCCTTCGAGTTAATTCGAAAACACTTCAAATGCACATAAAACTATACAAATTACTCAATTTTTACATGGATAAGAACCACACAATTCCTTGATACTTTTCAACATAAGAAATTTGAGTATTTGTATGGTTTTAAAAATATATATATTTATGTATAAAGTTAGACTTGTATGGTTTTAACTGCTCAGCAGAGTCATCAATGAGAAAAATTCACAATTTTTCAGTCTTTTTTAAAGAAAATTTTATTTTCTTTTTACCACACAATTTAAAGGAGATCATGGAGGAAATTTTGAAAAATTTCGAAGAAATTGTATGGTCTTTGAAGGAACTCTTTAATTTGTACAGCTTTTAAACGAGAATTTTAAAATTTTAATCAAGAAAATATCGTTTTGATCTTTAAAATTAAGATTTTTAAGGTTAAACCTTCGCCAAGAGTATAAAACTGATTAAAACTGTTTTTCAAAAATTGTTCAAAATTGATCAATTATTCTTCAAAATTGAAAAAAGTTGCTCAAAATGTGATTTATCAGTTCCGTACTTTTAATCATCTCCACATAAACTCAAAATTTCATTAGAACATCTTTTTTACTAGATTGCTTTAAAATATATGCTACTTTGTAGCCAAAAAGTGCTTTAAAAGCACAACTGCACAGCTCAGAAGTTTTCTCAACTAAGTTCATAGTAAATGAGTTTATTCACAATTTTGAGGTTAGGGGAAACTTAAAAAATCCACAAAAGAGACTGTTTCCTTCTTAAACAAGAGATAATTTTAGTTCAAATTCTCAGAAATTATCTCAGCTATGTGGGAAGGCATCCTTATTGTCTCTTATAGACCGTTACAGCATTTAAGCTCGTTTTTCTTGATTACTAAGTGAATTCCCTCAAATTATATCAAGACATTCAAGTCTAATTTTATAGTAAAGAATTGATTAAATGGCTCTAGTCTAGTCTAGTCAAGACTTTTAAGAATTTTCTCTAGGGAATCAGCTAGTATTTATATTTATATGTATAAAAAAAGAGAGGAAGGAGAAAGAAATCACGTTAATTAACTGCAAAAAATGAATAGTTCTCACAGATTTTATGCATGTATAATTTACTCTTTTTTTTTTTGTTGTATATTATTTTCAATAATAACGTTATCAAAAAAATTAAGAGAAAGCTAAAGAGACTATATAAAAAAATCGCACTTAACATAATTAAAAAGTTTTTCATTTCGAAAAAAACGCGTAAATTTTTTTTTGATTTTTTCATCTTTCTTTCAATAATTATATATAGGTGATAATAAGGAACAAACATTTCATCATGTATAATAAAGAACAACGTAACGACGATATGGACTCATCTTTTATCTCACGAAAGGGTTAGCAACATTCATATCACTAGCGTTCCCTTATATTTTGCTTGATTTTTTTTTCATATTTTTTTTTTATATCATTATTATCTCATTTTCATTCATTTTTTTAACTAAAAAATGATGTGCATTTCTCTACTGATTCTATATAATTATTTATAGCATCCTGACTCTTTATAAATTCTAAATTATGACAATAAAAAAAAGATTAATTAAAAAAAGAGAAAAATCAATTAAAAAAATTCTATGAAAAAAATGTTCCTTTAAAATTAAAAAATTATAAAAAAAAATCTTATAAATTAAAGTATTTAATAAAATTTCATCACGCAAGAAAGAATATGATTATTATACGCAATGGACAAGTCATCTCAAGAATCTCTAATGCAAATCTCAAAGTACATATTATTACTTATATTGTTATAATATGTGTATACTTATTGCATTTAATGTGTTTCATAACATTATGCCTTTTTTTTGTGTGTTTTATATGCTTATTATAATTTCTGTTCTTCTTTTCATTTGCTTCCTTTTCTCGTATGCTACGATATTTTTATTACGTAACTTAAAAGTTTTTCTTGTTGTTGTTGCAACTGAGATGTATACATGTGTGAATGCATTTGCCGGTTACTAACGGATAAAATTCCTACTTTTTCAAGTATTTTTTTTTTGTTGAATGAAAAATCGGTTGTGATTGCAAAATTTTTAATAATTCTAGCTAATTTTAAGAGCTAGGTTCTGCTGCAATCCTTGGGATGAATCAAAGGATTGCTATGCATTCTTATAAAATATTGAAAATTGAAACTTTTTTTGTCAACAAAACAATTCATTATAAGTTTTACTGTGTTTACTGAATGTGTCTATTTTTGTGAATATCAAAACATACTCAACTGTTATTGATGCTTAATTGGATCTACTTTAGGTACTGTTTAAGGTTTTCATTGTCATTTCAGATATGAAACAAACTCAACATTTGAATGTCAAGAACCGACCAAAAATTCATGAAATTGGCTCTAATCTTTTTCAACAAACTGTGCCTGCTACAGTTAACTTTCAAGAACAATAATTCGCACATACTCATACATCTCGGTTGCAAAATAAGAAAAAGATAAAAGTAACGGATTAATCTTACCCAATCAAAAGAGGAAAAATTTTGAAAAAACCATTTGTTAGAAGTAATAAAGAACACGGTCCATCGACGCAGCTACGTTAAACACGGGCGTGACCATCTGATGATAATATTATCACACCAAATCCAACATGAGGTTTTTCTTGGTTTATATATTTTTTTGTAATATATGTGTGCACATGGATCATTTAAATATTATATTATTAATTTTTTCTTAATTTTTTTTTTTTGCGAATTATGACGAAAACAAATTATTTGAAAACACACGACGAAGAAGAAGTAAATAAGATTGTTCTCATTCATTCAATTGTTGCATAATATCGCTCACGTTTTTGTTAATTCTTCTTATTCTTACTTTTTTTTTCATTTTTTTTTTCTTCAATTTTTTTTTTGCTTCTTTTGCTCGATTTCATTTATGAAAGTGCAGGAAAAAAGGTTGCATGCACTTTAATGCTTGCCATAATCAAGATGATGCAAATGATGACTATTTAAATCTAAGAAGTTTGTAATGATGTGTCCATTTGTTGTCAAAATTTGATGATGAGCTGCGGCAATAGCCTGAGGTTGATGGTTGCTGACTTGAGAGTTGTGTTGCATATTTGAATGCTGCTGTAAGTGTGACATAACTGGTGGCGTATTTGTGTTCGAGCCTTCATCAATTGTCTCAGTTTTAATTTCAATTGATTCTTTTTTGGGTTCTACTGAAGCAGCTACAGCAGACAGGGCATTGTGTAATGCATGCACACCCCCATTCGATTGATGATGACCCAAGTGCGGATTGTTCATTGGATTCAAATTGCAAATCTTAATATGCTTATTGAAATCACTTATATCTGCCAATTCTTGCTTGCAAATGTTGCACTGGTAAATTATATAATTGGCAGTCGAGGTAGGTGGCAGAACTGGGAGAGTATTCTTTCCATTTTTCCCATTCTTCTTCTGATGCGTTAAAATATGCTTTTTCAAATTTGATTGCTGAGAGTAGGACTTCAAACAAATGTTACATCCATAAGGTCGAATTCCCTAGACACAAACAGACAGATGGATAGATTCATAATTAGCATGATTATGCCAAAATCAAATTAACGGAGGATTATACTCACCAAATGAATCATCTCATGCTTCTTTAAATTTGCACGTTGGGCAAATGCTTTATCACAAGATTTACACTTGAATGGCTGCATTTGAAAAATTGAAAAAAAGGACGAGTTTAGGTCATGTGAACAACAACAAAGGACACAATTTCAAATCTCACCTTTTCGCCAGTATGCAACATCTGATGTTTAACCATATTAGCATGTTGACTGAATGCCTTTTGGCATGTTGGACATTTGTATGGTTTGAGACCTAATAATAAATGAGAAATTAATAATCTAGCAACGACATGACACGACACACAAAAAATAAAAATCAATCAATAAAAAAAATGTCACACACTCACCATTATGAACCAAATTATGACGCTGCAAGTTTGCCAGTTGCGTAAAAGCTTTGTTGCAAATAGAACTGTCGATACATTTGTTTTTGTTGTTGTTTCGCAAGTCCAATTTTTTTTTTTCGTAGCGATAAGAAGGAAATATAAAGAATTATGCACGTGTAAGTCTCTTATCAATCATTATATATATGATAAGGCTTATATAAGGCTGGTATCAAGATTAGTATTAAGGAGTTAATGTTACTTACCAAACAAAGGGCCGCTCGCCAGAATGCGCTTTTGTATGCTTCCATACACTGCTCTGACTCGGAAAATGTTTTCCGCAAAGCTCGCACTAGTTTTTGTTGTTTTTTTTTTTTGTAGCATCGACGAGAAGAAAAAAAGAAAAATAAGAAGGTTGAAAAGAAAAGGGAAAGTGAAAATAGTTAGAAATCAGCTGTTGTTGACATGAGTTATCCGTAGTCAATAAATATGGGTTTGTATGTATATGTATGCGCATATATATCTACCTTATACTTGGATTCAGTCAAATGTTTTGCTTGATGGGCAACCATTTCTTCATTGGTATCAAAGCGCTAGGAAAGGAAGAGAAGAAACAAAATTATAACATGATGAAAATGATGATCTGTGTATAAAAAATGGTTTACATAGCAGTCGGTCGTGGTATGAGCTCAGTAAAAAAAATTTTTGAGGGTAGGAAAATTAGATGGAATGGGGCTAAGGATGTAAAAGGAAAACAAGTGGGTGAGGGGATGCAAACAGTATGGGTACGGGTGGAAGAGAGGAAAGTACAGCACGTGCTCAGTACAACGATGTTGGCCAAGGAAAAAGTATGGAGAGAGAGAAAGAGCATAAGCAGTAAGAGAGCGAGAAAGTAAAGTAAAAAGTATAATTGGAACATGAACGAAAGAAAGAACAACAAAATTTGTAATGATATATATATACTAAAAAACATTATGGCCAACAACAATGCCTCATTGCCAACAAACGGTGGCAGAGCAGCAGTAATGCCAGCTAGTGAGGAATAAGAAAGAGAAAAAAAGGCCGAAAAAGACGAAGAGATATCACCATGCCATGAAGGCATTGTTGTTGGGTTGTAGGCTTAAATAATTCGAGGCCCAATAATAGCAACAAAAATATAACATACAGCAGAGCTATGGAGAACATGGAGAAAATTTTGTCGGTTTTTTTTTCTTTCTTTTCTTTTTTTTTGGAAGAAAAAGAACATCGACAAAAAGCGAATGTGGAGGAAAAAAAAAACTCATACAGGCACAGTCAGGCAGCAAGCAAGCAAGGCAGGCAGGCAGAGAAAAGAGAGAAGAAAAAAGATTGGTTGAAGCGATGACGATAAATAAGAAGAAGAAGTCCATTACATATTATATCAAAGCATATTTTCAAGGTGAACTCACAACCGAAAAAAAAAATCATTTTCGAATGTCTTCTTCTTATACCGCCTCAATCGAATTGAATCTTTTTTTTTTCATCGTTTTCTTTCAATTTCTCTCTCTCTCTCTCTCTTTCTTTTTTTTCCCGTATATTGCGTTATGCTGCTGCTGCTGCTTTGCTGATGACTATATGTCCTCTATGCTGTCCGAAAGAACGAAAATGAAAAAAATATATATGTACAAAAAAAATGAATGAAGAGCAAAAGAAAGAATAGAGAAGAAGGGAACAAGAAGAAGTTTAAGCAAAAAAAAAATTGGATAGTCAGTAGAAATATGAAGAGCTTTTTTTTTACCTTCCGGCATTGACCGCACTTGATTTTTACCAAATTCTCAGAGTCTCTGATGATGTTGGACACCACATTAACGTTGTTTTCCAATGATAGTATCATTGATCGGCTATCAGCTGCTGATACAGACACAGATGTGCTATTTAGAGGAACGTGATTTGTACGGCTGTTGGAAGTGTCAAGATGCAAGGGCAACGGAATTTGTATATGTCCTTGTTGCTGCTCATTCTGATGATGATGATGATGATGATCATTTTGAAAAGTCTTTTTAGTCAATAATAGGTGTGTGTATATATGATTTTTTTTTTTTTTTGGGTATATTATATATATATATAATTTCGGTATACATATATAAATTTGTATATATATAATATTATTATATGTATATATATGTATGCGACGGCGTGTGTGCGATGATGAGGGAGAGAGCGAGAATGAAAAAAGACAAATGTCGAGAAAATTAGAAAAAAGGCAAATTTTAAAAATAAATGAAAAAGAAATTCAAATTGGCAAGAAGGTTAAGAATCGAAAATTTCGCGTCTTGTCGTCAAACTCGTTCAATATCAAATATTTGCAAACCCAGTTTTATTAGTGATCAAACCCTTGATATTGGACTCATTTGTCTTTTTTCGTTTCTTGCTTACTCAATTATCATTTTTTCATAAATTTTATCAGCTTTTATCGAATGAATTATGCTTAAAATGTGATTTTTTTTCTTGCATTGAAAAGCATGTTTTAATGTCGGAAAAAAATCACATTTTTATCTATCGATAATTTCTGACGTTCTTGATCTATATACTTACCAACGGATAAAACATGATAAACTGAACTGATTAATAGCACTTTTTAATGAAAAAACAACTGTTTAGGGCATTTTATTTAACTATTTAAATTCAACTTTTTTTCAAGAGTTGAAGTTCTCTTTCTCTTTTTTTGCAATGGAGTGAAAATTAAACCGGTCTCTAGTACACCACTACCAGTCATTCCCAATCGTGCAATTTTCACGTCTACAACGATTTTTTTCTCCGTTTTGCAATCGCGTTATATGTTTCGCGGTTATTGTTCCTATCAAAACTCTTTATTCCATAACGCGATATATTGAGCGGAGTAGATTTTCACAAGTTGGGAATGCTTATATGTGCAGCATAACATCAAAACATTCGTGCTGAGAAAAATGGCTGAGAAATCAAAACAAGAGTTTATGCAAAGGTTTTTGAATAATGCAAGGAAAAAAGCACTGAATATTAAAGCTCCACATAGTGGAACTAGTACAATTAAACAGATTGAAACTCAGGTAATTGAGGCAAAGGACGAGGATTGGCTGACAAAGTAAGAAAATGTGAAAAAAATTATCGAAAATTGAATCAAAAAAATTTTTTTTTTATTTTTTCAGAAAAGCTCTCGAGGAAATTGAGAGAAATGCAAAGATACATAAAGTTAAGAGAGAGTCAGGATTGCCATCAGAGGAACCAAAAGCAAAAACAAATAAGAGATTCCTGACCACGACACTGACTAATGCCTTATCTCATAATGAACGCAAATCTACCAAAAACATAGAAAAATCATCTCATAAGCTTAAGGAACTTGAACGCTATCAGAAGCTTAAAACGAGCACTGAGAAATTTGGCGATCGGAAACATCATTATAAGAAACCAGAAAAGTCAAAGGAATCGGATGATAGCAGTGACTGATTGTTGATTATATATTTTTTGATGTATCTCCTTAAAATGTATTTTTCATATATGCAATAAGCCCTATTATTTTTTGATAAGTCAATTGTTTTACTTATTTAAATACACGATTAACTTAAAAAGCTCAAAACTTTTTTAACAAGACATTTCATTGATGATATAATCCAGAATTTAATTTCAGGGTCAAAACTTTACATTTTCCAGCTGTGCATAGCGCATATGAACTTTTCCTATCATAGTATTTCTATTTACTGGATCTACATTCACTTGCTGGATGTTTGTAAATTATAAATGGCAAAGTCTTGAACATTCGGATTTGATGTATTTGACTTTTAGAAAATGAATTTACATAAATAAAATAATGTTTTTAAAGTTCTTACTGATTTAAATTTAAAAACAGAATTTATCACGTGCTTATCATGGAAAATTTAAATTAGCTGTTCAGGATTATTAGAAGCAGTGTTGCAAATGTAGATGTCTACACTAGATGAAGAATGTAGATTCTTCAATAGTTTTCGTCTAGCTAAGAAACTTTCTTTATAAAGATCGATTCTACATGAAGATAGAAAATCTAATCTACACAAAGATTATTTCTACATAAAGATTCTGTCTACATAAAGATTCGATGTAGATGTCTACAATTCTACATTTTTTCTAGGTCTACATCAGAGAAGAATGTAGAATTGTAGACATCTACATTGAAATCTTTATGTAGACTGAATCTTTGTGTAGATTAGATTTTCTATCTTCACATAGAATCGATCTTTATGAAGAAATTTCTGTCTCAGAATTTATCTGATTCAGACAAATCGCCAGAATGCAACACTGATTAGAAGCATACAATTGCTGGGCGTTTAATGACAAAAAAGTGATTTGAAGTAGGCAATGTGACTAATATCCTGTCCTGGCTAAGGTATTTAAGGGATAGTGCTGTCTTTTAACATTGCCTACGAGCTTTATTAGACCCGAATGCTTCAAAGGAAAGAAAGGAAGTAAGTAAGGTTTACCAGAAGTTTGACTTACAGTCAGATATACATATCTTTGAAAAGGTGCTTAGTTCTAACATGGTAGTTTTTGTCTTTGCATAAATATTTTCTGGTTTAGAACAACCTTTTAATTACAAACTTAATGTTTTCCACGCTATTTTATCAGTTTTTAAATTTTCTTGTTTGAATGTCGGAATTTTATTTAAAATTAAGAATTAAACACTATGCTACCGGCTAACGTATGTCTAGATTGCTTTTGGTATTCAATAATAAAATCTATTGAAGCTTGGCGTGCTTTAAACAGTACAGTATTCACTAAAAGTCAGTTCACATCAAATAATTTGCAGTTTGTGCAAGCCACTGATTGTTAAACTCTTTGATAAATTACTATGGTCAATATCACACAATTCATCTTAGCTTAACCTTGAAATTCGCTAAAAAAAATCAACAGAAATAAATCATCACCACAGATCAATACAAGCGATTATAGAAAAATTGCATGGAGCAACATAAATCATATTTCTATGATGCAAAAAACATTTAGTCAATTACACTTGATGTACGCATAATTTGGCATAATAAATAATTCCATCTGATGATGCTCATTTCGAGTAAGATAAATTTTACATCAGATTTTGCTTATACAATCGAAATGGCAACAAAACATTGCTTGATATTTCCTGTGAGTAATGCATTCGATCGGATCGTAGCTTTAAGGCAAATTTTCATCTCTGATTCAATAATTCCAATCAGATACCCAAAAATTATTTATAGTAAAATGACATTTGTCTATTTCAGCAAATAACAATGTTAGTGAAGTTTGTCTTTCAACATTTAATAAGAGATTAATGCATAGCGATAATCATCCCAAAAAATAAAATTACATGTTTTGTTTAGATTGCTTCATCAAATCCATTTATCTCGTAGTGCTCATAGGGTACTAATCTAATTTTCCCAAAAATGTATAATAATGACAGGCCCACTTAAAACAACATCAAATTACAGTGTCCAATTCATCCTTTCACATCACTAAAAATTCAATTTTCAATAAGATACTATTTCCGACCACTTTTCACCTTTTCAAAACAAGTATCATGCTGTCATTAACCAAAACAGTTGCATAAAGAGCCACTCGGACAATCACTGTCATCAGAAGTAAAATGAAAAGTTATAGATTTGACTACTCAATGCTAAATAAATGAATGTATGAGATTTGAGGGTACGAAAAAAATTAATAAAATTGACTATGAAGTACCGTACACAGCGTTTCAACATGGATTATAAAAAAAGAGTTTGTGCTTAAGCCACAAACCAATGAGTAAATGAAAGTGATTTAAAACCTCATCAATGGATATAGTGATGCAACAATTGATTTAATTCGCAAATGAGTCACTTTCATTTTCGACTATGTTAAATACCAAAAAAATATAACAATATCTATTCATTCCACATAATTTGAGATAAGATGATAATTAAACTTTTTTTTTCTCTCTTTTTTTCTCATTTAAAGAATTAAGAAAATATAGCAGACATTGACATGCTTATGATCTGGAAAATTATCGAAACATTTTCTATTATTGATTTTTTTGTTGGACTTTTACTTATTCACAGTTTTCTGTATCATTTAGTTTACTAGTGATGATAATGATGGAAATTTCATGCATACATTGATGTTGAAATTTTGATAAACTGAAAGATCTATCGATTCTTTTAATTTTATTAAGTATTAATCTAGTTTAATGAAGATTCTTTACGAAAATCTTCTTTTACAAATTTAAATTAACAAATAGCCAAACTTATTATTAAATAAGCTCAATAAAAAATGAATTTCAAATCATGACAAATAGTAAAACAGTTGAGAGACGTTTTAGGTTCGAATCCAAATTATTAATCAAGAAATATGTATCAAGCAAAAAAATTGTGCGCATTTTCTAGTTGTCGAAATTTAAACTTGTTAATATTGTTTCTAAGTTTGAATTTTATTATTTTTATTTTACCATCAATTTAAAGATTTTGTATGAATTCCTCAAAATGTCTTTGAGCGACAAAAAAAACTGATTATTTTATTCTAACCAAATTACTGAAATTTTTCTTCGAGGGAAGTAATTTGCAATCTTGTCATCACTTGACTAAATCGCTTTTCCATAAAAATTCTACTTTTAAGTCCCAATGAATCAAATCAGAACTTTACCAAATTGATAACTACTCAGAATAAGTATTAGCAACGATTAGAAACGGTTTCATTGATCATCAGAGTTTTACAATCAATCTTTGATATGAGCTCAATTACCAAAAATTGATTATAACAGTTCAATTCATAAAAGTGTAAATTTAATTTTAAAAATTAATAAATGATAAATGTAAGATTCATCGAAGATAATTTTCCTGAGGTCTGTTGAATTAAAAGCACAATTGACTACCATAAAGATAACAAACCACTTCCGAGAATTCAAAATTAGGTCGCGAAAATTTATTAAAAGATCCAGAAATATTTTAAATAATCATGGTAATATTTTAACTTACTCTGCAGTAAGCCAATATCCAAAATTACCTCGATATTTCAAAGTCCTCCACAAAAGGCCTACCAAGAATTGATTACTTAATTAAAGACCTTACAAATTTGCCCACACAGTTCTCAGAAAATCATGACAAAGTACTTCAATTTACAGTCTAAAAGAGAATCTGCAAAACTTTTAATTATTTAATGTCTCAAAGCTGCTCACATCTACAACAAAAGCCTCCCTCAGTGTTTATTAATTTTTCGACATCTCAATTATTTTAAAGCATTTTTAATTCTGACAAAACCTATTACGAAATGTAAGTCTTTATAATTAATTTATCCGGATATTAATGTTATAGCAATTAATACAAAATAGTGAATAAAGAAATTTGTTAAATAATAGCTTTGCATGTCAATATATTGAAAAAGACTCTTTTTTGTTGCTCGGAAATGGATATTGATACAAAAAAAGTTATTAATTCAATATTTTTTTCACAAAAAAAGATTTTAAGATAAATAAAAAAATTTTGCGTGCATTTTTTGAATCAAAAATATTTTCATTAGTGCTGTTCGTCTAAAAAGCGACTCAATAGAAACAAATAAAAAAAATTAAAGAAAGTCAGATGCTGACAAAAAAGAGTTTGTTGTTGTTTATTAATCACTTGGCAAGTCGGGAAGCTTAGCATTTTGAACTTTGCGACGCATGAAGATATTTAATTAATTAAGAGGTTATTTATATCACGAGCTGGATGTATGTAAAGAAAATTACATAAATGGAAATTAAATTAAGTTAATTAATTTTACAAGAAAAGAAACGTTAAGCACGTGAGCTGTCTGGTGTATTTATATGCGATTTCAAAAGAGGTAGGCAGTCGACGTTTGCCATCTTCTGTTAAAAACGTGCAATTATGATGTTAATACAAATTGGGATAGAAGCTTTTTTTGAGCGATTTTATGTTTCATAATAATAATTGCAAGTCATTAGTCAGATGGAAAGAGTTTAGACAAGTCCTGAGTGGATGAGCAAATTTTTTTGGCAATCAAGGCAATTTTATTCGCAACGGTGAATTCTTTTGGCTCAACAAGTCATGCTGTTAGGGGTCGTTCACTTAATACGTTTGTTTTTTGCGGGGAGACAGGGGTTTTTACATTTTGGAACAAAGAAAAACTTTTTTCAAACAAAATTTACTAATTGAGTAGCTAATTAGATTTTAAGCAGACTTAAAATGTAGATTTTAAATCCTTCGAATTTAGCAGAACTTTAGAATTGATTCCTGAATAATTATTTTGCATTTCAGAGTCGTTTTTAACATTTTGTCTGGAAAGATCATATTTAAGGTAAAAACAAAAACACAAAAATTATGAGAATTTCCAGCCAGTCATAAAATTTGGTCACTTCATTTATCGGGATCCTAAATCTAAAATACTCAATTTTGTCCAAACCTACATTTTAGAAATCAACAATTTTAACGCCTTTCCAACAATCGCCAAAATAAACTTAACATTCATAAAGATCTTGCATAAAAAATGCATTAAAATTCAAAATTCACAATAAAGAAATTCCATCCATCCTTTTTCTTGAAACATCGCCGTTGAAAACAATTTTGGATAAGCATAAGCAAGAAGAAAAAGTGATTTAAATG